CCGAGAGTACAGTACATGATACTTTGCATACTTCTACAGTTGGATATTTCGCACGCCTTTTACGCGTATTTAGAATCAAGTACAGCATTACGGTATGTGCTGGTTGAACAACGTTACAGAGATATAATAATGTATGACATTCAGACATTGTGCAGGCCTTTGCTTTACTCGGCAATTATTGTGTTGAAGCTTATGGTGGAGCTATTAGAATATGAATTGTTGTATAAGTTGCCAGCTACTGAGCCACACAAATGGTTTCATCTCCTGATTCCCTGCTTCCTTTATGTGTATGTGTAGTTGTAGTAAGAGATATATGTAGAGAAGGAAATGAGAGTGGAAGTTATGTAATCGTCTAGACGTACTGGCTGACCTTGTAATATAAGTAGACTATAGATTCCGAGTCCAGGAAACCACACACATTGGAGAGCCGGGGGGTGCCCTGAGCTGTCGGTGTTTGAGCTCAGCGAAGACGTTACTAAGGGCGCTCTGATACACATAGTTTCCATGGACGAGGCGTGTACCTTGTTTAGAGCTATGGCAACGCGTGCGCGCAATTCAAATTCGGTGAATCTGAAACGGTGCACTAGCGCTACTTCCTCACTGGGAAGTGGAGCGAGAGGTCCAGGGAACTGACGTGAATTGGAGTATGCAATCAGATTGCACAATTTAAATTCTAGCTCTAATATAGGTGTATGTAAGATGGTGTTTTGAGGAGTGGTTGTCTGGGTAATGATATTAAACTCGCTCAATATCTTGTTCATCACCAGTTCATGTTGAGATCTGTATTTCCTGTTTGTGTAGAGAGGGTTTCGCTTTCGCTATGACTGTGAGGGTCAGAGTCACGGAGGGCTGCCAGGAGAAGGCAGTGAGAAACACAGACGACAGAAGACATACCCTACTGTCAGGGTGAGTGGGGGAGGGAGGGAGGGAGGAGGGAGGGAGAGAAGCACAGACAATAGAAGACATGCCCTACTGTCAGGGTCTCATGTGAACAAACAGCCCACACCATACAAGAAAGAGATGAGACAGAAAGGATGACAACATGTAGGTCTTCAATAGGACGTCCTACTAGTGTAGGACTAGCAACACAGTCGTGATGGACGAAAATAGAATGTCATCTAGCTGTTGCATGCACATGTCAATTGCGAACCAACGCCGGAAAATGAAACATGAAACCTTTCCCTCCCTCCCTCCCTCCCTCCCTCCCTCCCTCCCTCCCTCACCACCAGCTGATAGGTTACAGAGGTAGAGCCAGGGTTCTTGTGAGTCTGGTTACAGACACCGACCCACCGAAGCCCCACGCCCACTCCATTGTGGGGAGAACGCCAACGACGGTCGATGTATTGTTGAGCTGGGGCCAGAGACCGATATGTATGCCCAGTAAGTCACACGTTGTACTTATACAGTTGTTAGCGAGCAACGTGAGCCCATGTCCTCTCTCTCCCTCCCTCCAAGGTTCCCCAACCTGGGAATCCTCCACGTGACGAAGAAGAAGGTTCCGGACGTTCTCAACCACAGACACACTCAGCTGGCTCAGTTCAGCACTAACCACTCTTCCGTGGGAGACATGGACACCGACGTCCCAATCAGTGACGGTCCGTCCGTCTCTGGCGTTCTGTTTTCATGAGTGTACATACCGAGTGAGAGTAGACTGTGCCATAGCACAGTGGTTTGAGGTTTGCCTTGTGTTGTGTTGTGTTGTAGATTCGAATCCCTACCAGCTGAGTTGCCCTGGTAGCTCAGTTGGTAGAGCGCTCGCCTAGACTGCAGAATGTCGTGGGTTCGAATCCAACCCAGGGCAGCTCTTCTGTTTTCTTTGAAAAGAAAGAGCTGTCCTGGGTGTAGTTGACTTGTTTGCCTTGCCTTTCTACCTCGTTACCAAGTTGTTGAGACGTATATACAGCAGTGGCAGTGGTAGCAATAGTGTTGACGTGTTGAGTTTTGCCAGTACTCCACGCTTGGCTGATTACAATGCCTACTTGTGTGTGTGTGTTTTTGAAAGAGAAAGTGGAGGAGATTTTGTGTGCTTTGGTAATGCATGGCTGGTTTGTATACACATCGTGTACCCAGTGCTATATATATCATACACCTTACATGCGTACAACGTGTGCTGCTTCATGTTCAATATTATCCCCACAGAGGACAAGAAACAGATCCGACAAGAGGCTGAGTCCATTGCCAAGACGATGAACCTGTCAGTTGTGAGGCTCTGTTTTCAGGTGGGCTGACCTCTCTTCTCTTTCTCCCCCTCCTCTCTGGTAGACTATAACATAATATGCCAACGTTCCAAAGTTAGAACCCAGAGCATTGTTTGTTGTTATTCTGTTGCTATGGTACAGGCATTCCTGATGGACGAGCACGGGAGGTTTACAATTCCGGTTGATCCTGTTTTCTCGCAAAAGGTCTACGACAGCAGTAAGTCACTTCTCTCCTGATGGTCTTTCTCTTGACCCTTACATCTGTGCTGTGTTTTCAACCCACATACATATACTGCAGTGCAGTCTATTTCTATGCCTTGTCGCTTTTTCCTCCCTCTCTCTCTCTCTGCTGTGCTTAAATCATCTCCTCTTATCGCTAACAATGCTTACTTCTTGTCTTTTTGTCCTCCTTTCCACCCTCCACACACACACCCTCCACCCTCCACACACACACTCACACAGAGGCACCATCAGCAGGTACCCTGAAGATCTGTAGACTCGACAAGACCAGCGGCAGTGTAAGGGTTGGGGACGACGTCTTTCTGCTCTGTGATAAAGTCCAGAAAAGTCAGTTTTTCCCTCTCTCACTACCATTGCACATGACGCTGTGTTGTACATTAAACTGTGAACTGTTTGCCTCTATTCATTGTAGTGAGTATGTTTGTTTTTCTAGGAGAATGTAAAGGGAGTGCAAACCAATGCTTTTCTCCATGAAATCTGATTATTTGTCACCACATTCAGTGGCTTAGAATAACTTTTTGGCTTTGAAAAATCAACCTGAATTCAGTATCGGCTTCAACGGTTTAGAATTTCACTGCTCCTTTCTCTCCTCTCTCTCTCCTCTCTCCTCCCTCTCTCCTCTCTCCTCTCTCCTCTCTCCTCTCTCCTCTCTCCCTCCTTCTCTCCTCTCTCTTCCTCCCTCTCTCCTCCCTCCCTCCCTCCCTCCGTCCATCAGATGATATAGAGGTGGTGTTCTACGAGGAGAGGCACGACAGTTCCCTACATCCGGTCCAACCATGGACCGCTAAAGGAAGGTTCGGTCCAAACGACGTTCATCATCAGGTATATACTTGTCATACATACATACATACATTGCAGAGCTATAATACATACCAATGTGTACAGTACAACTAAAAACTTGTTATATTATCACATATTCTGTAAAAGCAACTTTTGCGCGGATGTGAAGACGATGGGCTGTATACCATAGAAACACACTTTTCCAATATCTGTAATCAGCTTATCCAACAGTAGTTATATATGTAACTACAACTCTCTATTATTCTTTTGTAGTTCACTTATCCTCTCTCTCCCTCCCTCCCCCTCCCTCTCTACCTCCCTCCCTCCCTCCAGTATGCCATCGTGTTCCAGACTCCAGCCTTCTACAACCTGGCCATTGAGAGACCTGTCCAGGTCAACATATCGCTACGACGACCGTCCGACCAGGAAACATCTGAACCAAAACCCTTCCTCTTTCTTCCTCAGGAGTTTGGTTAGTAAATCCTCAGTAGTTTGGTTAGTAAATCCTCGGGAGTTTGGTCAGTAAATCCTCGGTAGTTTGGTCAGTAAATCCTCAGGAGTTTGGTTAGTATACCTGCCTCTCTTCCTCCCTCTCTTCCCTCCTCCCTCTCTTCCTCCTCCCTCTCTCCCTCCTCCCTCTCTTCCTCCTCCCTCTCTTCCCTCATCCCTCTCTTCCTCCTCCCTCTCTTCCTCCTCCCTCTCTTCCCTCCCCCCTCCTCCTCCCCCAGATGAGGAGAGGATCGGTCAGAAACGCCGCAAGAAGCTCCAACATTTCAGCAGCTTCTTCAGCGACGGAGGAGGCGGGGCAGGAATGGGCGGAGGCTTCTTCAAGGGTACCGCAGGTCAGTGGGTGTGGCCTACCACAACAACACCCTTTTATTTTCACTTCATCAAGCAGTTGGTTTCATTTTCAATTTTTCACCATTACCTGACCATAGGTATATATATGTGGCTCCATTACTTGTCATAATGAAACTTGAGCTACGATGAAGATTTTGCAGGATTCTTTTGCCTTTGCAGTTTAGAATAATATGAAGTAACGTTTTAGGAGATAAATATTGGGTGAATATCAAGATTTAATACCTTTCTGTAAAATGGGGTTTTCCCTCAAAATGTACTTGTGTCTGTCCCTGTCTGTCAATTTATCTGTTTGTGCATCTATTTACTATCTGTATGTCTGTCTGTCTATTTGTATTGTCTGTCTGTCTGTAGGTCTATTTACTGTCTGTCTGTCTGTAGGTCTATTTACTATCTGTACGTCTGTCTGTCCCCAGGTCTGGGAGACTTTGGGGGGTCATTCCAAGGACTGTTCCAGGATGGAGTGGGCGGAGGGACTCAGGACTACAGCGGAGGAGGTGGTGGACAAGGCAGGAGCTCCCTCGGAGGGTCGGTACCCTTCTCTCTCTCTCTCTCTCTCTCTCTCTCTTGGAGTTGTGTATCTTTTTCTGATCTCTATATCTCTGTCTTCCTGAATTGTGTTGTTTTGCCCTCCCCTCAACCTTGCACTAATTGTTGTACCTTGTCTCCACTTTTTCTCTCTCGCAGGATTCCCGACATATTTGACATGAACGGTCCCCCGCACAGCTCGCTGGGTTCTCTAGGGTCATTGGGGTCAATCTCCATCCCCCTCCCTCCCCTCCTTCTCCTCCAACACTTCCTCAATGCAACATCATCACCATGACATCGGGGGCAGCCTCACCATGCACGACGGAGGAATGGGCAGTGGCCCAGGGTCTCATCCCCATTCCGGTGGATTCCAGACCAATGGTGGAATGGACTCGGGACAGAACGGATACGAGCAGCAGATGGGAGTCATGAGGTCAGAGTTCAGCTAGTCTGTATACACCATATATACATGTACAATAGAGTAAACCAAGTATATACAGATGAACTGTCCATTCTGTATTACTTTGACTATAGTTTGAGTGTGGAATAGCAACACTATCTTGCTGTTACAGTCCCTATATCTTTTGGTAATTAATGGGTAATTACGGTTAAAACGGAAGTAGGCGGGCAAGCACGCGCATACAAAACAGACGCGCAACGCGGCAGAGCTCACACTATCGCGTATTGCAGTGTTTGCAGCGTGTTCTGCCTGCCAAAGCCACTTAAAGTTCTTTTTTCCCGACATACGGCATCCTCATATTTCACTTTCCCCATTCCCCTCCCTGTTTTCACATCGCCCCTCTATTTGTGTTTCAACGATTTTGCTTTTTCCCCCGGCACATAAGTAAACAAAAGGAAAAACCGACCACCATTATTCTTTGACTATAGTTGTAGAGTGGAATAGCAATGCTATCTCACTCTTACAGTCCATCCCTATCTCTCGCTGTCCATCACTCCTTCCCTTACCACCCCCATAATAATTGTGTTTCAACAATTTTGCATTTCTTTCAGCCACGTGAGTGAATGAAATGACAAATCAACTATCAAATACACTTAGACTATAGTTGGAAGCTGGAATAGCAAACAACGAAAAAACCTCATTTACTTGGAATAGTAAACAAAATTGCAAACCAAACCTCCCCTAACACTTCGACTATAGTGTGAGCCTGGAATAGTAACACTACTTCACCTAATCTCTCCTCTATCTCACTGTCTCTCTCCCTCCCTTGCCCCCTCCCCCCAGAGCCCCGACCCAACAGCCGCCAGCCTACATGCAAGGATACGGCCAGCAGCCCTACATGGGCGGAGGTGGAGGCTACGGAATGCAGCTAACTCCTCGTACAGGAGACTCTGTCGTTCACGTCAAGGAAGAGAAAGTCGATCCTGAGTACGGAGAGGTGGAACGTAAGTTCTCGAGTATTAAACCGCCTTGAATGGGGGCAACTTTATGTGTAGAAATAGCGTATCAGCATCAATCCAACGTTAACTACTGCGTGCGTTTGGAGGATTAAAGCAGTGCTCTGACGTGCTGTGGGAATGTGATAGCATATGTAATGCAGGTAACTTTCGAGACGCAAAACTTCATTTTTTTACCACAAGCTGTTTTTACCGACTCATAATACGGTGTATAAAGCTAGTATAGATAATGTATATATATAGTAGATAATGATATAGATAATTATATATACAGTACATGATTTAAAGACCCTCCTCAAACTATAGGTGACAGTTCTCGCCAGAAGCCACCATCGGGGGCCGTGGGGGGCCAGAAATCTCATCCGGGGGCCAGAGGGGGTCATGCGGGCCCCTCGCACCTCCAGCCCCCCTCTCACCACGGGAAGATGGGGATGATGGATCTGGAGCAAGAGGAGAGTGGATTTGCTGAGACACTCGACTCAGGCATCACTAGAGGTACATACGTAGAAAGAGCGGAGGAGAAAGTGCGTAATTTCAAACTTTTCGGGGACGTGCAGAATAATTCCGTTAGTACTGTTTATAGTGCGTGAAACACCTGCTATACAACTATTACCACAACCGGCAGTAGCTAATTTTTGTTTATTCTGCCCATTCTGTGGGCGTCTTTTGGAGTTATGTATATACATGCTCATTTCCCTTTCATATGCTCTTGCATCCTTACGCAGCGATATAAAATGTTGGCAAAGGGGAGAACATTTGTAAGGTGCCAACAACACAATGACCTCCGATATTTAAACTTCCCTGAGGCTGGGATTTGTACCTACGACACTCTGCGCTCTAGACGGTCGGTATTCACTAATGAATTGTCGGCTCTACACTTTCTTTGCTATGTTACAAAGATGTCTCCCTCGTGCCAAAAATATAACGAAGTATTAACAGTGATGTAATAATTATGTCATCTGATTTGTCAGACGAGGAAGGGGCTTCCCCCAATCCTTCCTCTGAAGTGGAGACTCAGGCTGCCATGGAAGCCATCAGGGAGAGACAACAGGTTGGCACATGTCCTCGTGTTGACTACGTGTACTACATTGGTATCTGCTGTTCAAACCCTTCCTCTTTCCTCCAGTCCCTCATTCCCGAGTTAATTCCTTCATCAATTTCCCATTTACCACTCCATCATGTCTATTTCCCATTCCTCCATTTGTTCCCTTATTCATCATCTATTATATACCTCATTTCCCCATTCTTCATTCCCTCATTCAACCATTCCCATGTTCCTCTATTACCTCATTTCCCCATTCTTCATTCCCTCATTCAACCATTCCCATGTTCCTCTATTACCTCATTTCCCCATTCTTCATTCCCTCATTCAACCATTCCCATGTTGCTCTATTACCTCATTTCCCCATTCTTCATTCCCTCATTCAACCATTCCCTTGTTCCTCTATTACCTCATTTCCCCATTCTTCATTCCCTCATTCAACCATTCCCTTGTTCCTCTATTACCTCATTTCCCCATTCTTCATTCCCCCATTCCCTCATTCAACCATTCCCTCATTCAACCATTCCCCTATTCCCCTATTCTCCAATTCCCCCAGTCTGCGTTCCAGGTGTGTGAGAGGATGTTCAGTGCCCTCCTGGCCTGGGCCACCACTAGAGATGTCCGCTACCTCCTCGCTGCTCAGAGGAGCCTCACCGCCGTACAGAACCAGCAGGGAGACACGTGAGCGAGATACAGTAGCTAACATTTTGAAGTAAAAGATGGGCCAAATGCATGCCTGGTTTCCCCTTCCCTTTCGTTTCTGGTGAATGAACGACATGTTCTTTTTCGTGTATTGTCTTTTTTACTCTCCTCTCTCTTCCTCTCTCTTCCTCTCTCTCCTTCCTCTCTCTCTCTCTCTTCCTCCCTCTTCCTCTCTCTCTCCCTCTACCTCCCTTTACCCCTCTCACCATCCTATACAACGTACCACCCTGTTCTCCACTCACTCCCTCCCTTCTTTCTCTCCCCCTCCCCCTCCCTCCCTTCATCACTCAGAGCTCTGCATCTGGCCATCATTCACAACCACCAGGACGTGGTTCTACAACTACTGGATGTTCTTCCTCAACTCCCACCGACTGAGACTCCCGTAGTCGACTGCCTCAACAACCACAAGCAGGTATTTGTAGGATTACGCCACCTTTATGTAAGAAAACGTTGGTACTCAGGTGAGATTCCAACCCCATTGTGTGGAAGACATCTTTACTCAGTCACTGTATCACGTAGCTTTCATTATGCTCACATTGCCTCTACATAAGGGTTTTTGGGTCAGTTCTTCGTGTAAGACTAAGTTTTGAGTCACGAAATCTGCTGGTCAGCATTTTCATTGTTCTTAGCTCGTAACCCATGTTCATAACCTGTTTTTCTTATGGCATACTATGCATTGGGTAATAACCAACAACAAATTTCGTGACTCAAAACTTAGTCTTATATGAAGTAACAAGGGGTTTTTGGGCCTCTAAAGGGCAAAGTACATGGTGTAAACTTTGGCGTACAACGTTAAAGTGTAACGTATGTATGATAACTGTTCCACACAAGATTTACTGTTGCATGGGCCTATCATACCCATACATTAAGGGAATGTGGCAGTATAAGGAATAGATGTAGAAGTTAAATTAATTGTACATTCAGTTCAATTAGTACGGCCACATTCCTTCTAAACCGTACTTATAGTGATAATCATGCATTGACAGTTATGCTGTCTGGCCTTAATGCCACGTACATTTTACAAACTCACCATCTACGTGGCTACTATTTCTTGTTCCCCCTCCTGCCAGTCGCCCCTCCATCTGGCGGTCCTAACGAGGCAGAAGAAGGTGATGCAATACCTGCTGAAGGCCAATTCCAACCCTCTCGTCTGCGACAGAGACGGAAACACACCGCTCCACATCGCCTGCCGCATCGGGTTCGTAGAGGGCGTGGCCACCCTGCTCGGTCGGACCAATCACATCAACGCCGAGGCCTGTCGCATTCCGGAACTGAATATCAGGAACTCTCAAGGTACTAAGAGAACATGTCCACAAATTATGGTATACACATACATAATGCTACTTTAATTCAAGAACGATATTAGCAGATTTTTTGGGTCTTGAAATTTAACTTTTTTTCACCCGATGCGGTTGTGTACTGTCTAATTATGTGCTGTATTAATGCTATAATTTTCGTAAATATCATTCGTAAAACATGGTGCAAAATGAATGTTTTCCACTATACAACTTTATTCACCTTCTTGAATGATTCTCTTCTTCCCTCCTCACCCACCCCCCATCTCTTCTCCCCCTCTCCAGGCCAAACCCCCCTGCACCTGGCAGCTGGGTGTGGCTCCACTGACGTCATGAAGCAGTTGGTGAAGGTGAAGGCAGACATCAACGTCCAGGACAGCAAGGCCGGGAAGACGGCCCTCCATCACAGCATCGAGAAGGGAGACCTGCCAATGACTGGCTTCTTGGTCATGGAGGTTTGTTAACCCTTTCATCTTTCTCCCTCCTCCCCTCAATATTTTACTTTCTCATCGGCCAATACCCAAAAAACTTTTTATATGATCTCTGTTCTTTTCTCTCTTCCTTACCTTTGTCACACGCTTTGTTTAATTTTTCCACACTTGCCATTTCCATAATCCATTAAAACTGTCGTCCTTCCTCTATTGTCTTTCTTACCGTCATGTTACGCTAAGCAGTGTAGTTTTTTCCTATATTATATATACATGTATATACTTCTCCATTTTTTAACTTCCTACTACAATGTCTTTATCAGGTTTTTCTGTCCTCCTTTATCTTTGCTTGTCTTCCTTACCTTAATATTATGCTTAGTCCACGAAGACCCCTCTCTTATCCCTCTTCCTCTCCCTCCTCTCTCTCCTCTCCCTCCTCTCCCTCTCTCTCCTCTCCCTCTCTCTCCTCTCTCTCCTCAGACTAACAGTAACCTGGACTGTTGCGATTTCTCTGGCAACACTCCGCTGCATGTGGCAGCAGGCCAGGGTCGAAGTCCAATGGTCTCTCTCCTTATTGCCGCTGGTGAGCACTCAATACAGTATGTGCTACTAGAGAGCAATGCAACGCAGTTTGATTTTTCGCGTGTTTCACGTGTATTTAGAATCAAGTATATATGTAAGCGTGACGTGATTGGAAATCTGTATACATACTGTCCATATGGTATATGGCAGTGCCTGTACATAGAAATATATTTCGCATTCAAATGACTAGGGAGGCTCGCTTCACTCACCAATAAGTATTGTAAGTGCTGACGCCTCTTGTGTAAGCCCCTTCCCTCGTTTCAACGACACGGATAGCTTTCTTTACTGGGTTACCTCAGATTATTTAATCCGTGCACCTCGCTCCCGATCTCACGCCTGGTAGACTGAAAGAATGGTGAAGAGGGCATAGTCAGAAAGAGAGGAAGAATAAAAATCAGCTCTACTTGTGGGATTTGGACCCACCACAACTTGTCAATTATGACCTCTATCATGAATTGCATAAAAAGCAAGCTCGATAGTAAAACAAGATAAATTGCACCAGTATGTTGCTGTCACATGACAATCATGTGACCATCACATGATCCCAGGAGCCAATGTGAAGGTGGAAAACCTGGAGGGGGAGACCCCTGTGAGGCTGGCAGAGTGCACCACTAACGGCGAGGTACTACGACTGCTGACTCAGGCAGAGGAGGCGGGAGGACGCTCACCCACCAGGAACACTGATGGTACATACTTCCATTTTCACACATACTGTATATACCTATTTCGTATTTTGTATGCCAGGAGCACTGATGTACGTGATGTCTATGTACCTCTCTCTCTCCCTCTCCCTTCTGCCTTTTACTTTCTTTTTAACCCGTGGGACGTATGCTCAGTGGGGGTTAACGGTACTTGGTGTATTGAATGTCTGTTACCACTATTCTGGCACTGACGTATATATATATAGTGTATATGTGAAAACACTAAGACTCGTAACTCACGTTTGGTTAACCAACAATTAGAGCACTTTATAAATTGTACATAAGTTAGGAAGCTCGTCTACTATTTTTAAAGCCCTCGGGCATTTTAATTAGCATCCTCACTACACTCATGGTACAGCACAAAAGCTGACAAATGTTCATAATAATATATTTCATGGACTCATAGATTTCATGGACTTGTATTATGCAGGGGAGAGATTGTATTATGCTGTCTACATATGTATATTATATGAACAGTAATATTGCCCACCTATTGAGCTAGCTCCTTCCCGTCACCAGAGTCCCTGAGTCAGGAGATGGCAGGAGTCAACATAAAGGCAGAAGGAGATCTCTCCTCCCTCGATCTGCGGTCTCGTATCTCTCTCGCCATGCTACTCGACATTCCCAAGGATAACCAAGACTGGAGGTATATACGCACCATTATAGCGGGTCAATTTGTGGGGACAAAGTTTTTTTTCATACGTAATTATAAGAGTTTTCACAGAGAAAAGTGTCCGCGCATAAAATTTGCATTGTGGTGTCCACGCATAAAATATGCATTGTGGTGTCCACGCATAAAATTTGCATTGTGGTGTCCACGCATAAAATATGCATTGTGGTGTCCACGCATCAAATTTGCATAGTGGTGTCTGCGCATAAAATTTGGATAGGGGTGTCTGCGCGTAAAATTTGCAGTAGTGGTGTCTGCGCATAAAATTTGGATAGTGGTGTCTGCACGTAAAATTTGCAGTAGTGGAGTGCGCAGAAAAAGCTTTTTTTTCTCCGTCAAAACTTTCCCACTGTGCCTCAACAAAAAACACAATAAGACAAAACAATGGAAGTTGGCCTTAGGAACTACGAAACACAGCACTGTGGCTAAAAAGAACCTACCAAAAATATAGTACTCTATTACAACCGTGGAACTAACTGTGCGCATGGTTTATTTCTATTGCTTGTTCATCTTACCTCCTTTCTCCCATCTCTCCCCCATTCCTCCATTCACTGGGTGTCACTGAAAACAGGGAGGTATGCAAGAGACTCGGCATGGGTCATCTCATATCTGGATTCACGACCATGACTAGCCCCACCAAAGAACTCATCAGCTATTTTGAGGTGAAATACGTACCATAAAGGTGCAGTACGTTGTATATAGCTCGATCCGTTTTAACAAAATTGTGTGATTTCCCCCTTGCAAAGTTGCTTGATCCGTTTTAACAAAATTGTGTGATTTCCCCCTTGCAAAGTTGCTTGTATATGTGTATAACTATTAATATGCTTTTTACACCGCAGTATGTGCAACGTGTAGTGCAGTTGAGGAAAATGGAAAATTTTAATGACCCTCACATTTTTTTAATGTTTACTGGTCTTACCACTGATTTAGCTCTCCTTCCCCCCTCTCCTCCCTCTTCTCCTCTCCTCTCCCTCCCTCACCAGTCATGTGACGGGACGGTGTCCAAACTGCGCAGTGTGTTCCAGGAGATCGGGAGAATCGATGCGGTGAAGGTGATAGACCGTTGTATGGAGGACTACAGAGCTGGTCAGCAACAGATTCTCGGTGTCCCTGGGATTAGGCGAGGAATTAACACCGCTCCTGGTTAGTAGCTGGAGTATAGTTATCAAACATGTGGTGAAGTATATACCATACCTACTTAATACTGTACTGTTGCCTGAAATTCCATGCACAAAGTAAAGTGGGGTCAACACTGGGATGACTTTGGAAGGCATCCAAGAGATGAGATGATGGTAACCTTGCCAACTGAACAGGCTGTAGTCCTGTCCTAATTAGCAATAACTCCCTCCCTACCCTCTCCCTCCCTTTGGATACCTGATCAGGAGTGTATCCTATAGTTGACTTGAGCTTTGGAAGGGGTCCAAGTTAATGGGCGAAATAACAAATTTGTAAAGCCGACGACGAACTAAGATGGACTCAGACTCATTGCTCATGCTGCGTGTACTGCATGTTAGATGATGTAAAACTAGGTGATGCTAGAGCTGGACTTAGTACGAAAATCAGAAGTTTTTACAACGAACGAGGTCTAGTTAACTCATTCTCCACCCTCTCTCCTTCGTCTCCAGTGTTTGGTCAGGGGGCTATTGTGCCACATCACTGTCTGGTTGACTCTGGACTGGAATCTGGAAATTCCGGATCCCAGGACCTGCGTATGAACCTCTGTCTCTTCCCTACCTCTCCTTTCCCATTTCTCTTGCCTCTCTTTCTTTCTCTCTTCCTTTGCCTGATGCTCTTATACCATTTATATATGGGCCTTTTCACTGTTGCAATTTGGCAGTGGGTATACTTTTGCCACTGCTACCCACTTTCATTAAAACTATCCAATACTCCATGTTAACTATTTCTAGAGTGCAAAAACCTGCTCACTCCGTAATGCCTACTTAACCCCATTCTGCCCTGAACTATTTTCCTGTTAACCCCTACTCTTCTCCGGTGCAGGTGGTCACCTCTCTACCCAGCTTCCTCTCCCTCAACAGTCCAGCCCGGCTAGAGGTTTCTTTGCAGCCACCACGCAAGCCTAACGACGCAACCAACACCACCCACGTACCCCCTCCATTTTGAAGAACACTCGCAACCGCCCCTCTCTCTCCCTTTCCCCTAACTCCATCTCTCCTTGTCCCTTTCTCCTTCTCTTCCTGTATATACAACTTGTGTATTGTAAAAGGCCCAATGCAAAAAGGACCCAGTGTACACCACAAACATAGAAAATTTGCAAACAGCAACTGTTAGGTTTATGTTTGTTTAATTATACTCAGAATTTCTGAAAGGCTTGTCGGTACATTTTAGTACCAAGTATGTGTATTATACTATGGGACTGCTACAGTACAGAGGCTGCTAAAATGCATACACACATACAATGTATACCAGTCAGTCCCCCTTAATTTTGTTGCTTTTGTATAAAACAATGTGTATTTTTCTCTTTCGACAGAAAATTTGGTTGCATAGTATTACGCATGCGCGTATCGTTACTATGGAAACGCATGCGCTTTGGGTGCGCTATAATTAGAGTTTCAAGCGAGAGGCGTGCAGCTAGCTAGCTGTGCAGGAGAATGTGGGGCGAGCCGGAGTTGGTGAGCACCGGTCGACTGTCTTCGCTGCCGCTGCAGGTCGTGGTCTACTTCAGCGGCTGGTATCTGGTCCTCTTCTACCCTTCCCTCCTCGCCGCTCTCCTTTATAAAGGTAGCTGCTAGCAGCCCTGGCTGCATGCACTGAAGATATACATTCGCTGTCTGCAATCTACAGATCTATGCTGCAAATAATATATGCAGCTAGCCGCAAACCTATTAGCTGCAAAATCTCGAAAACCTTGCAACATTGATGTTCTCTGTTCGCAAAACATGCTGTACGTGCGATCTTCCGTGTGGAGATTTTCTTTATAGTATGAGAGCAGCTAATAGCACAGATATAGATCCTAGCAGAGACCTTTAGGTATGCTAATAGACTGTTTACCCGCAGTATGTTCGGAAGTTGGCAAGTGACGACTGAAGCTGAAAGCGCTGCCAGATGGTGGTTCGCAGCGGTATATACACGATGGAGTTCCGTAGTGTCTCTAACATTTAGTTCCCATAATTCCATTTCAGCTTGGCCCATGGGAATTGTAATTATTGGAGTCGAAATGTACTGCTTATTGCAATCTTGAAAGCAGCCTTGTGGTCCTGTTGGGGCATGAGAACAATATTTGTGTTTCTCTGAACGCACATTGTTTAGGGTAAGATCCAGAATAAGATGTGATGATTTTTGTGCACTGTTACAGTTCCAGTAGCCTATGTAATTACCGAAAGGAATAGCATAATACAGTTGGTCTGTTCTATAGGCAAATAGTTGGTCCCATCAGCCCCCTGTGTCCAGTGTATACGCTACCTTTTAGTCCCACCCAACATTATTCTCTGTGTGATGCTAGCTATTACTCTCAGATCTTTTATGGTCACAATACCCCTTGGGTTTTCTCTGGGTATGATATTTGAGCTGTACAACACATGGTCAACTCCATACTTACTGCTAGCTCCCTCTGATGTGTAATATATACACTCTTTAGTCACTCACGCATGTTTCCTGAGTGATGCAGGACAACTGCATTGTTACTCCTCCTTGTGTTGTAAATACATCTACAGTATCCATTTGGTCACTCCCAGCATGTTTTCTGTGTGTGTGTGATATTTGAGCTACAGGTACATAATTGAATAGCTACATCCCATCAATGCAGCTACAAAGTTTGACTACACAGAATTGCATACCTAGCATAGTAGTACTGTGGTAGTAGGTAAGTAGCTGGGTAACAGTAGTGTATATAGAACTTGTTTTGGAAGGAAACTGGGGCTTTATTCGTCATCAGCAGAGCAGCAGATCTAGGATTTTGAAAAGGGGCTGTCCAACGTTTTTGACTGCGCTCGTGCTAGTGCACAAGGCCGGCGACACATGCGCGCAAAACGACAAAAAGGGGGGGTTCCGCGGAACCCATGGAACCCCCCCTGGATCCGCCACTGCATGTTGGTAGACTTTGCAGCATACATAATATTGTGAACCTAGCCTACCGTACATGCATGTAATGTCTGCACGAGCAACGGTGTTTTTTTTCCTACTACAGCATTTGGAGGTCCGTACCCGACTGCCAACCTGTCAGCCGAAGTTCTTCTCCTCTTCCTTCTTTCTCTTCTGGATTCAAACAGAATATTCTTCTGTGAGGATATTATGTGGTGCACTCCAAAAATACAGTTTCTGAGTATAATTTTAACACACTTGTGTTTAAAAACTATATCCGAATACTTAATGTTTTTTCATGCTGCAATGGAGGAACTGCATATATACACATATTCTCCACGTAGGCCTTATACATACTACTATATATAGTAGGAAGCTGTCGTAGAAGAAAACTCTTCTCCAGATTCAGTGGGAAAACTTGGGATTGTTTTAGCAAATTACTCGTCCCGCCATACGAAAGTCCTCGCTAGCAATATTCACAGAGACAACTTTCTGGTCGGCTCTGAAACCATGGAACTTTTAAAAACAACTTCAGTTCCAGATTTACTAAATAAGATCAGGAGCAACAAAATATTGTTGCCAAACGAAAAAAAACAACTTAAATACTGATACATAGCTAGAGGGAACTGGGCCTGGTTAGACAAGATTTTAGGACTATGATTTATGTGAAGTAACGACCTTTTCCCTCCAACGTGTTTGAAATGTAATACACCTTCTCTCCACGTAAGTTGTACGTACGTATTTTGATGTACTATGTACCTGTACAGGTGCTAAAGGCAACCTAACGAGCAGGAGGCTCCCTCTCTTGACATCTCTCATCCTCTCAGTCCCATCTCTCTGTGGTTACCTCTACCTCACTCTCTGGCAGACATACATGTGAGATTTTTATCAGCCTCTTTACCACAGAGGCTCTACTATATAGTGGGAGGTTTTAGAGTGAAAAACTTGCACGAATTTCGCTGTTTGTGACTCGCAGCTAACGTTTTCTCTGCTCAATTTCGACACATCTACAAAGTGAGATTCTCATAATTATGCCGCAGAGTTATCTCCCGCAGTCTTGTGGGTTGCTTTTCTGTGAAAGAACTTAACAATGGGCACACTGGCAACGCAATTATGAAATACAGTGAATTTTCACTACTTAAAGAGAATGTGTTAGTACATAAAGGGCTAAATTTAGAAATGTTACGGATAAACAAAAGGCCCCAGTAAAGGAATGCAATTAATTTCCATTTTTAGTAACAACATCTAAATTTAGCCCTTATATTATACTGCCCTTTAATTAACTCTGGATTGCACCAAGGGCTAAATTTTATTGGCTAAAATTTGCTGGGAGTGATTGGTGCTGCTTGCAATTTGATTGCAACAGCATATTACTATTGAGGTGTTGGATGTTTCAATGTGGGCAATAATCAACTGGCTGTGTGATTTGTGGGGTAAGACCCGAGTAATTACATACCTCTCCTTTCCTACAATTGGCTGAGGACTATAGTGAGCATCTCCTGGCTGTTTACAAATTGTTAAGGTAATGAAATCTATTGCACCAATTGTAGTATCAGTAGCCTTATTCTCAGGCTTATGGCACACACCTGTGTCAACAACAACTAGGTGAGAGCAAAGACAACTAGAGTTTCCCAAGGTTCCTGCTAAAGGGCAAACAAGTCAATTACACCCAGGACAGCTCTTTGAAAACAGAAGAGCTGCCCTGGGTGGGATTCGAACCCACGACATTCTGCAGTCTACACGAGCGCTCTACCAGCTGAGCTACCAGAGCAACTCAGCTGGTAGGGGTTCAAATCACAACACAACACAACACATAGGCAAACCTCAACGAATGTACTATGGCACAGTGCACCCTCACTCAGTATGACATGCCTTATACATGACATGTGTGCCCGTGGGGAAAAAACTCGCTGCACACCTAATGTATCTGTTTGCACACTTTTTAAACATATACCTGCACACCGCAGCCAGCAAGGTCAAGGTTTTTTTGCATGCAGGGCAGGTCAGAATCCGTAATTTATAGGCCGTGACAATGGTACACACTTGCATGCCGTGTATGTACTGTAAGAGTGCTCTGGATAGTGGTAGGCTGTAATATCCATGGCTGCCTTACTTGCTTTGTGGTGGGAGCTTGAAAAATGAGGCTGCACTCCAAATGTACGTACTGCAAGAGTGCTCTGGATAGTGGTAGGCAGCGCCCAGCTGTAATATCCCTGGCTGCCTGCCTTACTTGCTTTGTGGTGGGAGCTTGAAACTACACTCCAAATGTAAGTACTGTAAGGGTGCTCTTGATAGTGGTAGGCAGCGCCCAGCTGTAATATCCCTGGCTGCTTACTTTCTTCATGGTGGGAGCTTGAAAAATGAGGCTACACACCGTAATGTACGTACTGTAAGAGTGCTCTGGATAGTGGTAGGCAGCGCCCAGCTATAATATCCCTGGCTGCCTGCCTTACTTGCTTTGTGGTGGGAGCTTGAAACTACACTCCAAATGTACGTACTGTAAGAGTGCTCTGGATAGTGGTAGGCAGCGCCCAGCTGTAATATCCCTGGCTGCCTGCCTTACTTGCTTTGTGGTGGGAGCTGAAAAATGAGCCTACACTCCATAATGTGTAGGTGGACATGTGGGAATGTCTTTCATCTTAATTAGCAAGCTGAGGAGCCTGTCTAGTCCTCAGAATGGCATGAGTTTTCATGGCCAACTGTACATGTACATACGTATGTTGAGGTTACGTGCTTCTTTTTATCCGAAACACTCATGTTATGCATTTGTGTAGTCGGTGAGCGAAGCGAGCCTACCAATGCAGGGAATTTTTCTATCCGCCGGGCACGGTACATACCGTAATGTTCTACGTGATTCTAAATGTTCACAAAACACGCTCGGAATATTGTATATACTGCTCCTGCTCGCTCACCAAACAATGCGTTACATTCCTCTAGTTATTACCTTAGAGTGTTATTCTCTTATGCCTGTTGCACTATATACTCCAGTCTGTCAGTGGAGGTGATATTGTTGGTGATAGGAATGGTTGGTTTAGGACTGAGTATGCTGCTGGGACTTATCACCCTCGTCACATTCCAGAGGTATATATGTGCAGATGTACAGCATAAAATGAATCAGTATGTACCTCACCCACTATAATTACGTAATAGAGACACTTGTTAACGACTGTAAGGTGCAAACTTTGTTTTCTGTTGTAAAAGTTTCTTGAGTAACCCATAGACAGCTACTTCTATATAATACAAACTTACTAGAAGAGTGCGTTTTGGTTTTTGCTACGTACCAGATGCTCTTTTCCCCATTGTGGGTGGGGTGGCTGGGTATGAAACTAATGCATGCATAGCCATAATGTGACTTTTCTCTATTATGCAGGAGTGCAGCCACGACATAGCTCTTATGTCACCCGTTTTTTCAGTCGTTCAACATCTTTATCATCATGACCATTACACTGATTTGTGTTTGTCATAATTATTACCCTCGGCGCGCATGCGCAGCGAGGGTACTGTAGTTGGGTTTGTCTGTCTGTCTGTTACTCTCAATCACTCACTTCTCGGGTGTCTGTTGGTCCCTGAAACGATACCATCTACCCAACGGGCGACGAGGGTCAGAAAATATGTGGGGTTTTCTCTGAAAATGATCCGTTGCAGAGCTAGAGCGCTTCCAGCATTGTATGGCTAATGCCGGTAATCGCCATTTTATCGCGGGCGGATAATTCGCATGCGCTTATATTTAACGTTTTTTCATCACCTCTCAAGGCCAGCCCGAGTGGCTAGGTGGTTAGATCGTGGTGACTGACACCATAGGTGCCGTTCGAATCCGATCCCGCACTAAAGGTCAGTGGTCCAGACATCGGCTGGGAACAGCTCTGGTTCCTCCCCTTACCCACAAATCTACCACTGACCCACGTTTCTCAAAGGGCAGCATATAGTTCGGCATAGCACTGCGTCCGTAGACGTCTGTCTGGAGAGATGAAGGGCTGGCCGTTTTTTTAAAATTGTTTTTCAACCTTAGGTTTTTTTTGCACTAAACAATCCACAGGTAATACGAAAATTAATAGAGAGATGAAAGGTTGGCAATTTTTCAACCTTATATATTTTTTCGCCTCAAACAGAAATGGGGCTGGCCATTTTCCATCATAATATGCTGTTCTTTGTCAAGACCATCAATTGTGGTGGTGCCACACTTGTGTATGGGTTCCACAGTGTGCCGAGGGTTTGCACTTTAGTGCTTTTCATTGTGTACTTAATGTGTATGTATATACATGACTGTGCACATGTCAAGTTTGTGCATAGATGCTGACGTGTACTAATCTATGGTATGTGAGATTGCATCATCATCATTATGCTGAGTGGTACATCCCTCATTAAATTATGACAGAACTCTTAATTACACCTCCCCCTACCATGTGACCCAACACATGATTGTTGATCTCACCGTAGCATTATGGAATGTATACATAATTATGTACCGATACATCCACATGCATGCTTAAATTAATAAATAAATAATTGCATCACCTTCTCAGATCAGACTAAACAATGCGGCTGATGCAACTACACATATAACGTAGTTCATGGTTTCGTAAACAGTTATGTGTGTGTGTGTGTGTGCTAATAGACTATAACCTCTAAAATTGAAAATAATAATTAGGCAGGCATTATAAAAAGTGACAATAAGGCTATGATTAGTACACAAATTACACACTATCATTGCACTGATTAGTAAAGTTAAAGTTACAAATAATCAATAATCACAATAAAAAAATTTTGGCTGGATAAGCTCGTCAGTGTAATAAATAATAACAGAAAATGATCCACCAAAAGTGCTGCTACACAATTAATAATAATGTTAGCCATGGCAATTATATGTATGTAGCTACATGTGGGTCTCCTCGCTGAGGAAGTCCCCGTAATAATCAGTCATCTGAGTTGAATCCTCTGCAAAATCTGCAACATCATCACAACCAAAGTCGTAACTGTTTTTATTGTATACACTATGTAGCAGACCACACTGATACATGGTACAGTGGGTCCCGGTTACAGTGGGTCCATAAAAAACATGATTATGCGGGATATTCTACAATGCGGGTAGGGCCCAATATTATACGTAGAGTTGGCTAGCCATAAAAGACTCTTTTAACCCACCGCCCCGGTTCTCAAGGCTGGGCACCCAGTGTCCTGCTCTCATGCCATGTCATGTGTATTTGTGTATGTGTTTTGTATGGATATTTTTGGGGTTTGTGGATATAATTATGTTGGTGGTGGTTTTTATTTCTCTATTTATCTATCTTATTTACCTATGGCTGGTATGCTATGAACTATAATTTCATATATAATTATACAGTATAGTGTACATAATATAATGGTTAACTAACTGTTTGTGTAGAGGGAAGGATAGGTTCCAAATCTAGTCGGAGACTTGCCGGTGTAGTGGGTGTCAATGAACTCTACCATGGCCTTGTGCACAAACACATACTGCGCCTGAATGCAGGACAGGGAGGGGGGCAGAGCTGTCACATACAAAATTTAATATAAAATTCCTGTATTGAAACGACTAGGTAGGCTCGCTTCACTCGCTAATAAAAAGTGAAACATCAGAATAAAAGGACATTTTCAATGTCCCCAAAGTGTCCCATATTCCGAGGTTTCATATGTACCTCAGTCTGGATCATGTGGTTCCTATGTTGCCTCATCTCACTCACGAGACCAAACACGTCGATGAAGTCGTGTTCCTCCACGTGCTGCAGTAGGGTGTCCAGAGCTACGTAACAACCGGTGCGACCCACTCCAGCACTGCATGGGTGGACCCAGTAGGGAAACACAGTCCATCATCATGATTCACCGATATACTGTTTAACTGTTACTAGAACAAATTTTTGGTGAGCAGTTGCGAGCAGACCGTAATCCATAGTCTGACAACATACTGCTCTACATGCTGTTCACACATGCCATTGTGAAGTGTGACAGAGAAAAACTGCAGCAGCATGCAGACAGAGAGGCTATAGCAGATGTATTACAAAGTCAAGGCATGTGCCAAGCAAATGCAATGACTCCAGGACAGCACCTTTTTCAAAGACAAAAGCTGAGCTCTGTCGATGCATGCAACACTACAGCAGCATGCGCATGCTCCCCACCACTCCCCGCACACATTGTTGACCGTAACATAATATTATAGCTAGTGACCTGCAGTGGACCACAAGAGGTCCGTGGTCCATCAGAACACTCTCTCTGACGGTCCTGACAAAGTCCAGAGCTGGAGTGGGGGTGTCGGGCACCCCGTGGTCAGGCCAGGAGGTGAACTGATAGTGCCACACTGTTCTACTGGTCTTCTCCTGCAGCCAGGGGAAACACTTGTGGGTAAAGATTGGCAGTTTCATACTAGTCTGTGTGAACACATAATATTATAGCAAACTATTAAATTATAGGTTTTCCATCTTCACTGTCAGGTAGCTACGTAAGCTAAAGCAAAGGCTTACAAAACTTTGGCAATTGAGCTCTGCATACTATAGGCAAAAGGCCAATATTTTGTAGGTGGGAGCACATTCATTTTATTCATCCATGAATTTGCTACGATATCGTATGAGGAAAGATGTGTGGGTGAAGACTATGTTAGAGGTACGTAGAGAGCCTAGTTTGTAGGCAAAGGCACAATATTGTACGACTAAATATCCGCAAAATTTCTACTCCATGAATTTGGGCAATCGAATGTACATGGCATTAGGTAAGAGAGAATAGACACTTTCATAATCTAAGCGTGAAACATGCTGAGACAACCACGTGATTTGTGTGTTAGAGCCATCGGGCTAAGGTCAGAATGCCACAGTGGGGAAAACTCCAAGCTCTGAGGGAGAAAGTGTTTGTTTGTGAATGTCATCGAAGTTTGAAGAATGCACTCTCTCTCTGGTTATAACATCATTGCAACATTATAATAATATTTGCTTTCAGTAAAAATAAATAAACAGTTTGCGTAATATTTAGTTTGAGTCCAGGGATTTTTCATTACCTGCAGAAAGCACGTAGATTTGGTGACTTTGCCTCAAAGGAGTGGTATTGCAATGGCAGTCATCATCACCTACTGTGTTTGTCTACTGTGACCACCAATTGTACATTGAATATGGCACCCTAATACGTAACTATACTGACCATGGATCCTCTGTGCCAACTACTAGATGGCGAATTACAAGCCTAGAATGGAGGGAGACATTATACTGACCATAGACGGTTTGAATTCTCGGACGGTCCAATCCTCCTTCTCCTTCTCACTCAACATCTCGACTGCTATCTCACCATAAACTATACACTCCGCCCCAGGCCAGTATCGATGGCATTTGGTCTGGTGAATTGAGATTGAAGGGAAATCGTATTATATTGAAATGATAGTAGAAACATTGCTAATTATGAACTTGTATTTCAGTGGTTTTATAACTGGGTATTTCTATTAAGCCTCTAAACACTTGATTTAAGAACACACGTAACACACAGAGCGCACAAACAGAACACATTACTTTCCATAGCAGTTCATTCTATTAGGTCTCTAAACAATTAAAGTGGGTCCGCTTTACTAATTTTAAGAACACAGGTAAACCATAAAACAGCTAGGTACAAGCAAACGCTCACAAAATGATTTCATAATACACAAGTTAACTGCTATATAGTAAGTCCACACTCACTCTCCCTCTCTCCACTAGCTGGGTGAGCATGACGATGGTGTGCGTGTTCTGCTCCCATACCATTCGCCAGAAGTCATCAAACGTGGCTGGCAGAGGACCCTGAGTGGCTACGTAGGCACGTCGCATACGGTATCCCTGTGGGGGAAGGAGAGGGACGAGAGAGTGAGAGAGTAAACATAGCTACATACATAATGTATACCAGAGGAATGCTTAGCGAGCAGTTCGATTTTTCGCGTGCTTCATGCGTATTTAGAATCATTACGTAATGTGGCAGTGCTCATATAAAATTCTGCATTCAGACTACTAGAAGGGCTCACTTTGGTCGCCAATGAATATACTAAGTGCATTTTGTAGTCACAAGACAACACCACTGGCAAATATTTGACCTGCACTTTAAACACTGGTGCTGCATGTCTAGGAACTAATTACATGTGCATGATGCAATAGCTTATTCCGTGCAAATGCAAATTATGCAATTTTCTTCCATAGCAAAGCAACATTCCAAGAAACCGCTTAATTAAACGTCATTATTCATAACTTAAACAGGACTTGGTGCAAAATGCACATTATGCAATTTTCAAAGCAGCATTCCAGGAAACCGCTTAAAACAAAAATATAAACAGGTCTTTGAATTATAATGAAGCTAAGGAATTCATCATAATCTTCACAGCTGCCGTAAGCAAAATCATACAACGCAGGGTAACCACTGTGTGTCTTTACACTGAAAGAGTGAATATTATGCATAAACAAGTAAAAGTTGTCCAGCTAGCCGTTTTGACACGCACAGCTCCGTGGAACACGTCGGAAGTATGCATGTTCACAAATGCAGAGCTTTCCAAAAATCATGCTTATAGTAATCCAGAACAGCGGTGTTCCCATCTTACATACGTGTGCACTTAAAACATTAAGAATGTCTATGTATGTATTATTGTGTAAAAACAGTGTTATTAAATCTCGTAGTAACTTGCATCATGTTTATAAGTTCCCATGGCACCATTTCCCCACGCAACCCCGCGGAAAAACAAGTACGTGTCAATTGATGCATACTAAATGTGTTAGGCATCTCGTCCGTTGAAATAAAAGTGCGTTAGAAGCCATCGGACCCTTTACGTAGCATCCTTGCTGCGCTCGGAAAGCCACAACGCAAGGGCTCTCGGACTTCCAATGCGCAGAAATTTCACAGACTTGCTGTTTAACTATTGCTTAGCTCATATGCAAGACACATTAATGTCAGATCACAGAGATAGACCTATTAATATGTCTCCATATATTAGCTCACAGGTATGTAGGAGGCATTGATGTAGTCGGAGCCAGGGTCATCATCGACGTAAGACAGTTTGACTCGGGAGTGATCGTAGGCCAGGATGTTGGTGTAGCGATTCTTGCCCTGTTCTCAGCCATCAGGGACGCCTCCTTGCTGTGGTCCAACCCCACCTCCGTCACTTTCTGAAGAATTAACAAAATTTAGAGTGGTTATTAATAGAATTGTTCAGGAACATGTGGCAGTATGATAGGGCTAAATTAAAGGGAATGTGGCAGTATGAATCGTAGGGATAAATTTATAAACGTTTAGAAAAAGCAGCGCTCGTTCGCGGTTTCACATGTATAACTTCTACATTTAGCCCTAATGTACTGCCACATTCCATTTAAGGAGGAGAGGGAATTATAATTATTACGCAGTTAGTAAAGCAATACTTATACGTATGTAGGTTTTGGATAAGCGTGGTATTACGCAAGTGGGAATGGTCCAAACTTAACGTATTAACATAGTATCCCAACAGGCATATATAATCGAATTTTGCACGGTTTCGTCGCATTACGTAATGAAATGCATGGTTACTGCACTGCGTTTAAACTTAGTAGTACTATTGTGCTTTAAAGGCAGTTTGTGAGAAACTGAGTGCTATTTTTATTTCAAAGACGAACTGAACGTTGTCACGTAAATCTCCATCTAAACTAAAGGGGTGTGAGGGAACGCTCCTAAAGAGGCAGTTCTGATTGATCGCTCCCACACATATATAAGGCTTCAGTTTACTACCATATATACAATAGTACTATCCGGGCCTTGTACGGGTCGCACTGAACCTGACATTCTATTCTAGAGTGCAGTTTGTGCAAGAACTCTTGGTGTACATGCCTGCCCTCGGTTTGTGTTTGTGTTTTATCTCTGTAGATATCCAGTGAAGCCCCAGCAGCCCTTCTCTTCCTTCTTTCTATATACATAGTATGTACTTAAGTAAAGCGTGAATTGGTATTTTACATGCATTCTTGTAATGCCAAGTGCACACCACACATGAATTTAATCACTTCCACAATTTACTGGGAGTCATTTTGGAACTTGAATTCGACCAGACATTAAGTAGTAATTTTTCAGTGTAATGATAAGGGGTACATACCTCATATTCTTCTGAGAAGATGTACCCAGAGTCATTCAGCATATCCCTCACAGCCTCGCTGAGGTCTTTCAACATCATCCTCCGCGAGTTAGCCTTCCTGGAGGGAGAGCGAGACTTGCCAGTGGCCCCGGCTGCGTTCTTGTTGACTTGGCCCAGCGGCACGATGCCTGGGTCGCTGGGGCTCAAGAACATGGGCGGTTTGTTGGTGTTGTTGGCATGTGTCGAACCATTCTTGTGGGACAGGAGTGGGCGTTCGCTTGGCTTGCTGCTGGTGATGACATAGCCAGTTCTGTTTGGAGAGGAGAGAAGGAACTAAAGATCTGAAAATAGAGCTTTTGAATAAGGTGGACACCTCTCTATAGGAGACACTTGGTTCTGCCCCCTACTAAAACATTAGTGTAGTTTACCGTACTTTGTGTAGGCAGAACAAAGTGCTCTTTTACTACAGATTTTATATGAATATTATGTAGATTGACAATGAATGAGCAAATCCAAGAGCCATGTTACACCACAGTTTGCAGTATCACTTTTAGGGGGTTCCCCTGGTGTTTTTCTAGAGTATCAGCATCCATCAGCATCCATCAGCAGGGATTATCTAGTGGGCACTATGTAAATGAGAGCCATCCCATGTCAGCAGTTGCAGACCACTGTAAGCTTACCAGCAATCTGTACTGCCCATGTGTCACTATGTTACCCACCATTTGTCATAAATGCATTCTGGACTGCAATTTCCCACGTATTTGACGTGATGTCTGTGATAAGTCTGTGATAAGTCTGTGATAAGTCTGTGATAAATCACTACTGTAAAACCGGAAAGTATTGGCGCTCCATTTATTTTAGCGAATTTGGCGTTTCTAAAATTAATGGTCCGCCAATAGTTCAGTATTAGTTTCAGACACTTCAATTTTAGCGAGGGACTGAAATCAACAATGCACGATACATATTTCAAGCACCATTAGTTTGACAGTTTAAATTAGATTTAGATCACAATGTTGTTTTGTCACTCCCAGTGGAACACTATCTGCCATATAGAGTCAAAATGAAAATTTTAATTAATCTAATTGATGGCTCGAAAACATTCCCTGACAACCGCAGTTTAATGCAAGATTAATCATAAACAAGGAAATTGAAATTGTCATCTCAAGTTGAAAAATCACGGTAAAGTTGATGAGAGATTGTGATGCTAATGTGTCTGTCCCCGTAACATGGGCGGTATATAATTATATACACCTGCTGATTAGGATACCAGTGTTTGTAGGCTGTCAGCATTGTTGTGACTAACAAGTCACATATTTACTGTCTCGCTGGTGTATAAGTGAAGAAAGAATTCCAATTAGCTCATAATTGGCGAAAAGAATCCGACCTTAGCTGTCTACTACACCTACTATGTAGACCAATGCAGACATAATTATGTACCCACTGGGGAACCCCCCTGGGCCTTTTCCTCATCATCTCACCTAACATCTGTACTGTATACACTGCTACAGACCATGTTGTTCCTCCCAACACATGAAGTTGGTTACTCTAACCCCATCAGAATACTACAAATAAAACCATTCTCTGATTTTGCAGAGTTTACGAATAATCGTGATGAATACTTGGGTATGCCAACCACTTTTCAAATTTTTTGGGTAAGTTTCACTTTTGAAAAAAGTGTTTTGATCACAAAAGCATTCTATAACAATTAATTATGTCACTTAGGTGGTCAACTCACAGTTCAATGATACCCTTTCGTCTGGCGTTGAAAACAAAGTAACCAACGACGGCAGCCACGGTGATGATTACCAATACAGCCAGGAGTACCCCGACAACTGCCCCGACAATGGCCCCAATGTTTGATGATTGTTCGTCACTCGGGATTCTCTCTGAAAAAGTAAATTTGCAGTTGAATTACAGTGGAACCTCTGATAAGGGACCCTCCGACATAGGGACGACCTCTCTACAAGGGACATTTATTTCAACCCCATGCTAATACTTAGTGTATTATTTGACCTCCGAGATAGGGACGACCTTTCTACAAGGGTCACTTGTATCACCCCAATGCTAATACTTAGTGTATTATTTGACCTCCGAGATAGGGACGACCTCTCTACAAAGGACGCTTGTTTCAACCTAATGCTAATACTTTAGTGTCTTTGAGATAGGGACAACCTCTCTACAAGGGACAAAACCGTTGGCCCCATAGTGTCTCTTGTTCGGAGGTTCCACTGTAGTTTACGTAAACACTCTGTTTTGTTGTGAAAATTTGCGCAGGGATTGTGCAATTCCCAATGGCGTCACGTTCGGAATTAAAAATTCCCAGCGAACAAACTACTTCGACTGTTATGAAACAGGATATCTCTCTAAAGTGGGTGTTTGACGTCACAGTCTTAACAGGAAAGAGAGGTTAAGTTTTGCTGACGTAGCAACCATTCTCCAAGTCAACAAGATAGCTGAATGTAATATTAGGCAGAGGTCTCTGAACACCCCAAAAAAGGAAATGTTATAGATCTTGCTGATGTTTTTATGTCGACACACACCACACACACACACACACACACACACACAGAGAACAACAGTTTGTTGCAAAAGTAATGAAGCACAGCGCCTTAAATGCACTAGTAGCAACTCTTCAACTGAAGGGGGAATCTCCTTTAAAATGTGTTGCAAGGATTGCATTGTGTTATGAACTCAGATATTCCCATCGCATCATTACCTGAATTTCCCAATAACTAACTTACTACTACGTTTGCTACTTTCAGTAATAAACAAAGGTCTTACACGCAATACACTAACGTGTTTGTATAATATTATAATGCAGGGGGAATTGTCACCTAGTATTATACTATTTACTAGCGTAAACAGGAACTTTGAGCACACACACACACACACACACACACACAGCGTTTTTCAATGGAAATTATCTTGAAAATTTTATCTGAAGAAAAGAGATTTTAAGCTGGAGTTTGGTTCATATACACGTGTGAAAAAAGGGTGTGTTAATCTCAGAAAACAAATTTAACCGAACGAAATTCACCTGTTGGTGACTCGACTAACCGGTTGTAAACTGGGCGCCGGGGAAGAAAGGAAACTCCTGTGACTGGATCCCAGAGAAGAGGGTGTAGCGGATGCCATAGTCGGCACTGGGGTTGAGGGGACCGTTGCAGACTGTGTCAGTTGGGCCACACGTCATTGAACTGTTTCCTATCGTGAATGACACTTCAATGTCGCCTTCTTGTCTCTTTCTTCCCTGCAGGGTTGTGGGGAGAGAGAAATGAGAGTAGGATTACCACTCTCTTTAAGCTCCCGACTATCGACCATCTGACAGTGTGCATAGTTCGTTAGGAAATTCCATGATAATGAGGCAAATAATGTAGGGCTACAATAAGTAGAGTATATAGGCATAAGGATGCTAAATATTCAGGAAGTGGATTCATAGGCCTAAGTACCTAGTTGGGCTATTACTAGTAGAGGTGGGCATTACTAGTAAATAGATAGCTAAAAAATTTCATTTGCCCACCCTTTTGTTGTCCGTGTAACAAGTATGACTGTGCAGACTTTTAACAGGTTGAGACGTGCATTGCAATGGTAATTCCCTTAGTCAGGTGATTGATGACCTCATACAGGATGGATGACTTGCAATATCTCAGTATAAAAGAGGACCAGGTTGCTCAGTTGCAAAGCTTCAAAGATGATGATGGCATCAAATTTCCCACTAGAAGAGTATTCTTCAGAGTATTCTAGTAGCTCTAGTAGCTCTGAGTCAGACCAGGATGAAGAGGATTTGGTCACTCAATGGAGAAGAACCTATCCTGGAGCTACCAATTCTTACATTGTACCTCCAATGCGACTAGAGCCTGCACGTCCAATGTCTCTGCTACCTCCAGTGGCTTATGCTAGTGACAGTGGGCTTAGCAGCAGATTTGGTGGACTAGAAATCGTGCAGAAGGACAGAGCAGTAGATACAGTGAGAAAGGATGGACAAGTTGAAGTATTTGGAAGAGCAGATATGTCAGGAAAGGACTTTGCAAGAGACCTTTTCTGCAAGGCCTACAAGAAATATAACAGTCAGATTAAGGCACTGGTATCTACCTACCAGTTTTTAGACCCGGCACAGTCTAGGCAGTTTGTCAAAGGAGACAAGTTTGATTTGGATGGCAGTGGCATGGTGTTGGTCCAGGGAGCGGTCATCAACGGTCTGGCCTGCTGGGAAGAGTTCATAGTCGAGATTCTGAAAGAAGGATTCATGACCTTCGTTGAGGTCGGTTCGGGGCGTCCGCCGACACTCCACTCTTTGAAGAAGAGTCTGCCATCGTGCGATGTCATCTTGAGAAAGGAACTGAGGACCAGTTGCCAGTTGAAGCCAGCAGACGAGAAGATGTTCAGTATCATGTGGGGAATCAATGCCCCGCCAGAGTTTGCATCGAGAGTCAGCCCGTGGGCCGAATATTTCGAGTCTTACTGCCAATCTACAATCACCGGTGCCCAGCTAATACCGGTCTTTAGCCCCGGAGCTGCAAACAGCATAGACTCTCTCTTCAGCAGGCTGTTCCAAGTCACAGCCGAGGGGAGCAGCCTGTCTGAGAACATTCTCAACATCGGACGGTTCCGCTACAAGCTCCAGTTGAAACCAAGACGACGAAATCGAGCTGCATATCCACTCCGTGACGGCTCTCAGAAATATCTCCCGGGTGTACTACTACGCCCTTCGCTGCATTTTCGCACACGGGCACAACCGGAAGACAATCACAGGGGCGTTGAAAGATTTCCCCAGAAACGTAGCAGAGTTTGAGCTCGGTAACGAGAGAGCAGCGAAGTACTATCTGGGTTTGTACCGGCGGATGGAAAAGTACGGTCGAGACACCAGCATCAGTTACCTCACCTTTATCAACATGATTGAGTTTATGAAGAGAGCGGCGTTCTTCTTAATGCGAGCCCTCGCCAAATGGGTCTACGACACGACTGAAACCTGCATCTGGAGCTACAAGCCGCATACTTAACAATTGTGACTGTAGGCGATAAGTTTTGTCAAGGAATCTCTTTATTTCTGTAGTGTTTTAACATTCCACTAGATATCTACGTAGGACTGTATGCGATGTGTATGTTTAAGTTTTATCACCATGATTATCTATTACTGAAGAAAGAAATGTGTTTATTATGTTCACTCAAAAAAATTTGCCTTGTAACTGTTGCTCTTGGTGTGTTGTAAAGAATTCTGCCTTGTAATGGTACTATGATTCAAATGTTTACACAACAATAACTAGTTATGGAACATTCTAGAAGGGCGGGGAATAGAACATTCTAGAAGGGAGGGGGAAGAGATGATGTAATAGATGATCTTTAGTTGGGGGGACTTGCATATACTATTGCTCAACATCACTGGCAACCATTATAGGCAAAACAAACAATGACATCATTGACCACACAGTAGCTTCAAAACAATAAAGTGGTTAATAACCCACACAATGTAGGAAGCAGGAAATGGGTAACAACCCAACCTACTCACTTACATCCAGACACATTACATCTTCCATACCCCTTGGTTTCTAAATCGTAATTTATGCCACTATGAGACACAAGTAGGAAGTGTACATAATTCATAGACCTCGACATATTTCCTGTACTATTTATAGCACAAAACATTCATAGCACATTATGTAATGGCGTGCTATATGTATACCTGTGAATTAGGTGTGATATTCACACTCAGGGCTGCATATTGTGGCCATTCTTGGGTGAGTCGACTGCTCTCATACCACGTCCCTATGGCCTGGCTACTGCTGGGCATCCTCTGAACATATATCAGAGCCCTGAGAAGTGAGAATGAAAAGTGAATCGTGCACAACTGTAGTTAAGAACAGGAGATAGTTTACACACAATTTTGCCTGTCAGCCTCGTTTTCAGGACTTCTCCGTTTCGCTTTAGTGTCAGTTTAGTTAATCATTGCCCATCCAGGACAGTTCAAAGGTGGGAAGACCGCATTTTGCGGCATCCAGCTTTCCAAACTGTTGCTCCATATTGCCACATGAGGAGCTCACACATGTTGGGCAATATATCTCATATGTGACAGGTAATGGTAGTAGTGGAGCTCATGCATGAGCTCATGTGGTTCACATGAGGTCATCATTACCTCATCTAAACCCAGCCCACCTCCTGTGCTTAGACCCTATCCTCAGAGGATCTGGTGACTATATAGAGTGATGACTGAAGAGTGATGTGTTCTATATGAGTGACGTTTGGTTTTGTGATGACTCAACAGTATAGTATTGTACTCTGCTAACATCACTATGCGTCTGCTTGTACAACACGGCTCACATACTCACCAGTCTATAAGCTGCAATGGTATAAGATTGTAGTTCAACTCTCCTGGTGGACCGTGGCAACACGTCTAACCGGTTTAGATCCATTTAAACTGTTTGCGAAGATATGGCGACACCAGGCGAGCTCGAGACACTATCTTGTCTAGACCAGGAAAACTCCGAGAGAAGGAACTCGACATACTCATGCTCGCCGCGAGCGAATCCTCGAACGCTCCGCCCACAACAACAACAACAACAACAACAACCGACAACAGTGCGCGTGTGTCGACTACGAGACCCGCCCCCACCACAACCGCAGCGGTTCCTTCAACAGTATATACGAATCCTCGGACGCTATAGATGCGTATGTTCCCCAATAGATCCCGTTGTCCAGGGCAACGGGATCTACTGAAAATAGATCCCGTGTTTGGAACAATGAAATTGCGCGATTTCAAATCACCGGGATCTATGCACTGGAAGCCAGCCACACCTTCCATATCTGGCACCTTAGCCATCAGTTACTAGTGGAGATGTGACACGTATTCATACATGAACAGGGACAGTCTGCCCAGCTAGTTTTGCTCTGTTGTATACATTTCCTGAATCACAGTTGGTCAGGCCGTGGGGTGTGCACTATTGGCGACCTCTTGACCTCTTGTTTGGGCTCCTCGTGTGTTCATGTGTACATCTGAGGTGCTTTAGCTGTAGTAGCTATAGTTCAACTGGTCACATTAGGTCACAGAGTGCAGACACTATATATGTACCAGTTCTGTTCTGCTTATTTAAGGAGATACGGCGTACAAAGGGTTAAGTATGTTTCCGGCTATGGGGGAAAATGTGACTATGTAAACTTCCTGTTCATTGCCTTTGCAAAGAAATATGTATACACAAGTGAATTCCTGTGCCATAACAAGGAGATAGGGCCTTGCCTTGTATTGTATTGCCGACTGAGCCCTGCCTGCTCTGAGCTGCCCCGGTAGCTCAGTGAGCCCTGCCTGCTCTGAGCTGCTCCGGGAGCCCTGCCTGCTCTGAGCTGCCCCGGTAGCTCAGTGAGCCCTGCCTGCTCTGAGCTGCCCCGGTAGCTCAGAGGCTCCTTGGTTTGCTGGGTTTGCTTGATGCCTTGTGTAACTCCACACTCCACTATTCATGCAGCTAAAGCTACTGTACTATATAGTGTGGAAAAGGATACATCCTACGGTCTAGAGTGCAGGGCTCCATAATCTTGGGACTGAGATGTGCATAGGGACAGGACCTTACAAAGGGAATGATGAATTGCATATATTTTCCAAGAAACATGTCTTTCATAAGAGATTGACGTAATAGTATGTATACAATAGACATACATTTTGTAGTTAATGCAATTCACAAACATAGACTTATGTACACCGACATACAGGACACAGGGTATTGGGAATTTACGTCAATAGACACTTGTCCCAATATTACGTCAATCTCTTATGAAAGACATGTTTCTTGGAATATGCAATATGCTCAGCCGTCACATCTTGATATTCACAATCATTACCACCTCTTCCCCAACAACACGGACATATTTGGGCATTTTACAGTGTTAAAATCACTCTCTGGCTATTGTACTCCAATACATTTCAAATAGAAGTGCAAGAGAATTTACGTGCCACATCATGGATTCTGCAAAATTTTATTGCCAAATTCATTACCCACTACTCTGTGTGTCATGTCAGAATGGGTGGAGTTTACTGATGGCTGTTAGGCAGTTCTGTGTGCCCTGTGGAATCTCACATTACAACTTTAGTGTGCTCTCATAGTTACCATGACTATAATAATTGCTCACCCACACGGTATGACAAGTGTGCAGTATGACAAGGCAACAAACCTGTCAACTGGTCCGTTGCTGTTGATCTCAGAGGGCAAGGAGAAGCTGACTTTGGCTGAGGTGTCTGATATACCATCGTCTCCAGTTATAGGGTCTACCACTGGCTGGGGGACAACCTCTGGTTCCTCAACGGGATCTATCACATCCACGGGAGCTGAGGTGGAGCAAGCGATCATCGCTCAATGAAATCATACAGAGACACTTTAACACTCTTTATGTTGCTGTGTGTAATGACAGATAAACATAGCTCATTACTGCAAAGTGATGATTTTGGGAAGAACAGTTATCACATGAACAAAATACACCCAAGAGAAAAAAGATGGGAGCTCTGGACAGCTGTTTCGGGCTTGTTGGCCCACATCAGCAGAGCATACCGCAACTTCTCTCTCTGGCACCACCAGTTTATAAAAGGCTAAGTTGAGCGCAGCACATGTACGTATCTGCCAAGGGTTTTCTAGACCAGTTTAGAATTAGACAGCAAGAGAGAGCTCTCCATTCGTCACAGCTAAAACCCTCTCGCGATGGATTCATTGCCTTGGATGGGATGCAGAGTCTTGTTGGTTTGAGTCTGCTCCAGAGTGACTCTTTACTTTGTTGTCTGTTCTATCGTTACATTGTTTGATGTCCACTTCATGCACTGCAAATGCTACACTATTTGATAACCGGTGGCTACGAAACCAAGAGACACGAAGCCAATACTCCTTAATGTTACTGTGCACCATGTGTCTCTTATAGGAGGAGTTCAGTGTACGTATAAATCAAGACATATGGCTTTCATACGTAATTAAGTTACGCCACATGTCATACAAGCATAAGCATCCCCGGTCCATGAATTCATTTATAATGCTGCAGCTTTAATGACTCAGCTATGAATGGCACACTACACATGTGCAGGTGTTCTCCCAGTCCCACGCTGTGTGCTGACTGACCTAAAGCCTCACTCACTCAGGACCCTGCATGCAGTACTTAGAGAGCTTCTATTTACACCAATAGCCAGCCGTCTCAGTATTTTAGGATAAGGCACAAACACAAGTCATCTCAGTTACTGTGGGAGCTAAATGCACTCAGCTTTGAGCTAGACGTAAAAATGCACACGACCATACTCTCACACTAAAGCCTGTCTACCACTCTCTGAGAGCTGTAGTCCAGCGTGTTAGAGATGCAATCACAGCTTGCGCATGAGTTCGACTTGCAATCATTTTCTCTCTCAGAGACCAACATTCACGGCAAATCTTTCTTTGTTCCACTTGCGTTCAATAAATACACGGCAACCCGATTATGCAGCTTCTTCGACGTATGCCTTCTCAAGCAACAAAGTTGTGTCATACATGCTGGCAACTGATCTTACTTAACAACGTCTTACCAAGCTTTGTACTTGTAAATCGTTACGTAATTCGAAGTATATACGCGATATTCATGTTTGGTCGCCACAAATGAGTTAGAGTAGCACATTAATTATTTTCATGTACTTACGAGGACCAACAGGAAGTTCGACTACAATGGTGGAGATATCCCCAAATCCTGCCCCAGTTCTTCCTGATACCTACACTCATCACAAGGGAAATAAAACATCAAATCATTGATTATTGGAAAAAACACTCTAGCCTGCATGGTCACTATCATACAGTTTACTTTTTACTTGGCATCACATGGTCTATTGTTACATGTACATACATACGCTACTTAAATAGCAGCAGGAGTTATCATACATACATACCTAATA